CTGATCATTGTATTCCTGTGTTCCACAGCACAGTTTTCTGTAACTGTCCCTGCAGTGACTCCATTACGAGGCAGAGCCCATGGACAGGGTTCTGGCCACCCCACAGGGTGGGCCCTCCAAGGAAACCCCATTCCTGCCAAATTCAGCTGAGAACATACCCAGCAATAAGTGACATGGAGTCTTTTGGCTACTTTGATCTTTAAATTTTCAAAACAATTTTGATGACCAATCCCTTGGCGAAACTCTAGAGGTGTTTCTGCCAAATGAAGATTCTGGCTGACTCTCAAGATACAACTTACAGACATCAGCAGTACTTCAGGGACACGGTTACTCAGTCTTTTTCCTTAATCTCATTCAGGATAAGAACAATAATTCTGTTGTTGGTACTGTGTACCAATGGAGCTGGTACTGTGTTAATTCCAGAATAATGCCCCCAAGGTCCTTTGCTGTTCAGCTTTAGCACAGTGTCTGTGGGTAACAAAGCTTGGTGGGGCCCTTTCCCCTTTGGCTGGAAGAGGGCCGGGTTCCAGTCCCTGAGGGCACCCAGGCTCCTGGATGGAATTTGTGTGCAAGTCTGTCAGTGTCACAGCAGCCTTCACACAGAGCCCCATGGATCAGAGCATTTTCCAAAGGGGCCGTTGGGGGAAACAGGGAGATTTGGTCTGGCAGGATGTGAAAAACAATCTCCTGTAATATCTCCTTGTTCTCACGCAGAATACTTGGCTGGAGGGACACATTCTCATTGTTCCTGCCCAGGTTTTAGGATTTAAACAGTGCTGTCTTTCCAGGAGCTGTTCCTTCACCTGCCTTGGGAGAGCCTTTTGGCCTCTGGACCCACACTCTGGCTCCATTATTAGGACTGCTCCATCCAAACCCTTTATCTTTACTAACAGCAGTGATTTGAGGTGGAGGTCTTTTTTTCCAATTGTTTTAAAAACTGACAATATCAGTAATAGTGCTACCCTGTAGTTGAATAATCCAATCTTGTTCACTATTTTTAACACAATTCCTTTAATTTCTCCTTGATAACCTCTAGCCTCTGTTCCAGCTCCTTAAGGCATCACAACAGTCCAGGAGCCGGAATGTGGAGGAGCCGGTGCAGTTTCTGAAAACAAACTGCACAATTCTTCTTCCTCCCCTTTGCTCTCAGAATGAGCCTTAAAGGTGCAGAACTCATTTCTGGGCTAAACAGACCAAAGGGGGTACAAGCATCATGAAGTCACCCCAGGATGCGCCCCTGTCAGGGTCAGGGGGTCCCGTCCCCGCCTCATCTCCGGGCTGCCGGAGGTCCCCCGGCTCCGGTATCGCCCCTTTCTCTCTCCCCGCCCTGGGGCTCCCACGTTCCACAGCCCCGGCTCTCACGGGGATCCCCAAAACCAATGTCCCGCCCTGTTGGTACCAGGCCATCCCCACGTGGACCCCCCAGGACCCTCCAGAGGTGTGATCACAGCTCCTCTCCCCCCGAAAAAGCTCCTCTAGGGAACCCGGTCACAGCTCCTTGTGGGGCACGGCAGGAGCAGCACCCTGGGAGCCTGGGGAATGCCCCTCTGGGATCCATGGCACATAGTGCCAGGGGCTGGAATTCCAGTTCCTAGCCAGGAAAAGATGTTCCTGCCTTTGAAGGCAAAGCTCTTAAGAAGGGACTGAAAGACAAGTGGAGCAAGTTCTTACAGTGACATTTCACTGCCTGCCTTGATAATTTCATCCATGGTTGTTGTAGCTCATGTATTGAGAATTAAATCAGGGCAGGGTCTTTGTTGGAACTACCCTGGGTCTCGGGAGACACAGAGAGAGAAACAGAGCAGGCAGAGAGAGGCAGGAGAGACAGGAGGACACAAACACAATCAGCTGAGAAGGTGGCACTCAGAAAACAGAACTACAACTGACTGAAAATGAATGGGACAGAAAGAAATAATTTTGTGTCTTTATTTCCTATCAAAACAATTTCCTCCCTTTCTCACAAACCTCCTCCCAGTGTCATTAGGCAGGGCTGTCAGAAAGTTCGTCATTCTGATTGGACATTCCAGGCTGCAACCACAAAGAAAGAGGGAATGGGGATTTTCCTGCTCCTGGGGAGTTTGACATCCTCAGCTGAGGAGAGGAGGAGGCACCAGAAGAAAAGGGCAGCTGGGCTTCACCCTTCTGCAGGGAAGAGGGGGGAAAAAATCTCTCATCCTGTCTGCAGCTGCTCCCACAGGGATGTGAGGGCTGATCCCAGAGCCCTAAGTGTCACATTCAGGGCTGCACTCAGGGAATGCTCACCTGATATTGAGAGGCAGTTTGGGAGCACCTGGATCTTGGAGGACCCAGCTGCCCCCCATGTTTGGAGGTGCCTGAGGAGGTCTGGGAGGATGCCAGGGACATCCTGCAGTGAAATTCCCTCTGTCTTCTCTGGGTGAGCTCAGCCCCAAACCTGACCCTGATCCTGGTCTCAATCTCACTCCACGTTTAGACACATTCACAGTTCTGTATTTAATCCCATCCTAGTGTCAGACTCATCAAGCCCCAGATGCAATTCCAATCCCAGCCCTAAAGCCAATCCCATGTCTAGTCTTAACCCCAATCTCAGCCCTAATCCAAATCTCAGCCCTGACTCCAACCCCAGCCGTGACTCCAGCCCTATCCCAGAGACCCCGGAACATCCCCTGGGCTGAGAGGGACAGAGACTGACCTGAGCAGCCCCGGCACAGGGTGAGGGGGAGGGAGACCCGTTGGGCATTCCCTGGGGTGAGAATAATGGAGACCCCCTGGGGAATGGCCTGGGGTGACAGGGACAGGGACAACCCCCTCAAGTGTCTCCCAATCATCCCCCAGGACGAGAGGCACAGAGACCCCTCGAGCAATCCCTGGGCACTGGACAAAATAAACTTGGCAGAAATCAAACTTAACTCTGCATAAACCACTTTGATGAATATTTGATTTTTCCACAAGTGGCATGTGATGAAAATGCAAACAAATCCCAAGCATTAATAAACTGACAATAGAAGTAATTCTGCAGCAATTCCAAGATTCATCGCTTCCTGCACAGCTCCAGCTCAGCTGCTGGCAGGTTCCCATAAAAGAAAGGTGGAAATTCAGACCAATACAGATTGTTAAAAGGAAGAAAATTTCTGTATAGCGACCACAAAGGTTACAGGGACAAAGAGAATAATGATTCTCACATTTGGCAAGTCCTCAACCCTCTCAATTTGGGAGTTATTTGGGAATTTAGCTACTTGAGCTGGGCTTCTTGTAGGACTTTCAGCAGCCTTGTTTTCCTCACCTTGGGGTGAATGAACCTTGTCAGCCTCTCTGGTATCATTCACTCCTTTTTCTCCAGTGATTTTAACAAACTTTTCAAGAAAGGACAAGAAAATATTTTCATTACGCTGGCCACCCACAACAGCCATTTTTCTCATCAGTTCTCCCATAAATCCCTCGGAGAAAGCTGCATCCAAGTTTCCAAGAGTTCCTACAGAAGGAGCCACAACCTCCTCAGAGGAGGGAACCATGCTATTGTCAAAGGCACTTGGGGCAAAGAACAGTGTCTAAACTCACTGTGCCCAAATAATGTTGCAGTCTGGTTAAGAAAATTATTAGAGAGAGGCTTCTGCCCCAATTAAGGTGCTACCAAGACCAAATCCAAAGTGGATTTTATTGAACAGTAAGTGTGAGGTAGAGAGAGGGGGAAAAAGAGAAAAAGAGAGAAGAGGGGGTAGGGCAAGGTAGTGACGGGAACAGAGACTTCCCCTGGACCAGGGCAAGTGTGACATTGTCCCCTGTGTGTGTGGCCTTCTCAGGGTAAGGGTTTTACACCTGAGCTAGTTTGGGTAAGCGGGGTGGTGTTCACCCCTCAGCAGGGATTACCCCACTGTTTCAGGTTGCAGTGCAAGATGTAACCAACGGCATATTTTCCATCACCACCTTCAGAAACTGTTAGAAACAGGCAGGATAGTGTTCTTTATCTCTTCCATGACTCAGCCCTGATAATGACCTCCAGGGACTATCTTCTGTGAATGGGCCATTGAGTGTCCCTGCAGGACTGGTAAAATGACATCATCCCATTGTGGGATGCTCCGCCCAGGGGGAGGAGCCACGCATTCCTACCTGGATATAAGCTGAGGCTTACAGCACCAGGAGAACCTTGCCTACTGGATTCCCAGAGGACAAGAGCTCCATAAGCACCACTGGACCTTCAGAGGAAGACCAGACCCTTCTACAGGATCGCTGCTTCAACAGAATCACGATCATCACTGCAACAGGACTGCAGCCACCATTTAATGGGACTGCTACCAGCACCCTGAGCAACAGGGTGTCAGGTTATATCCTTACTCTGTCAGTGTAAGACAGTGTTTCTGTATCATTGCCTTGATCTTAATTTTCTTGTTAAATTGTAATTCTGGCTTAAAATCTCCCCCTGGTTTGACCTCAAACCAGTACAAAATTTAACGCACTCATCTCTTGTTTTCCTCCCAAAACAGAATTTCACATCCCAAACCCACTGCCAGATGGAGGAGAAGGCTGCGAGGAAGAGGAAGATGCCCTGAGACACTCAGGCAGGTGAGGAGGAAGTCAGGGCCCCTTTCGTTATTTCTCCTGCTTCATCTTCCAGCCCAGCACAGCCCAAGGCTGCAGGACAGCCCCACTGCCAACACTGTCTTGCCAGGGATGCAATGGGGGGATTTCCTTCCCTTTCCCTCTGGCACAGAGGCAAATCACATCCTCTCCTTGCCCTGTCTTCCTCAGACAAGGAGCTGAGAATAGAGACCAGGGAGGACAAATCCCCAAGGCAGAACCTTGTGGAAGAGGCAGATTTGAGCGGCTCCATGGCACAGGAGTCTAATAAGGAGGAAAATTCCCTGAGATCCCACAGGAGGAGGGGCTTCAAACCCAGCCCAGGGTGCTCTGAGGAGGAAAGACCCACCCTGTGCCAGGAAGGTGGACAGGGCTTCAAGAAGGACTTGGAGATGGTGGTCCATGAGCAGCTTCCTGATGGGGAGAACCCCTACAAGTGCTTGGAGTGTGGGAAGAGCTTCAGGCAGAGCAACACCCTGATCCGCCACCAGATGATCCACACTGGGAAATGGGCCTGTGAGTGTGGGGAATGTGGGAAGGGTTTCAGCTGCAGCTCAGAACTTGTCAGGCACCAATGCATCCACAGTGGGGAGAGGCCCTACGAGTGTCATGAGTGCCAGAAGAGGTTTCACACCAGCTCAAATCTCCTCCAGCACCAGCGGATTCACACAGGTGAGAGGCCCTTCCGCTGCTCTGACTGTGGGAAGGGCTTCAATCGCAACTCCAATCTTGTCACCCACCGGCGTATCCATACCAGGGAGAGGCCCTACGAGTGTCCCCAGTGGGGGAAGAGCTTCACCCAGAGCTCTAATTTAAGCAGACACCAACGGATACACCAGTAAGGGAAGACATGCAAAGGCTGCAAATGCAGGAAGAGCTTTGTGCACTGCCCCAACTTCATCCCCCATGGGAGAACCACG